ACAACTGGTCACTGACTCTTATTTCGCTTTTATTTATTTATTTATTTTAAATTAATATGAAACAACATTCTAGAATCTGCCCCTTAGGGGTGCTTAGCCCCCAGTGTTGACAATGGCTCTTGGTTTGAACAATGCGGTGACCATTGTTGCATCAGAAGCATTTGTAATACAGTGAACCCTCGCTATAACGCGGTTCACCTTTCACGGTCTCGCTGCTGCACGGATTTGCATCGTGCATTGTGTTCCGCATTCTGATTGGCTAAACAGTCTCAGTAGTTACTGTAGTTATTCGTAAAAAACGTTTATACACTACTTGTATTTGTTAAACAAATGCTTGGGCCTGTAAAAAGGTTTTGTTCTTTGGTTTGAATGTATTATGGAGTGTTTCGTTGTATAATAATTGTAAAAAAATAAAGGTTACTACTTCACGGATTTCGCCTATCACGGGTTCATTTTGGAACGTAACCCCAGTGAAAAACGAGGGTTCACTGTATAACACTCAAGTACTTGAACTGGAGACCACTTCCACCGCAGATCCTCATGTTCATTTGGGGGGGGGGGGGGGGGGGTTCCTTCTGAAATCCACAATCATTGCCTTTGTCTTCTTCATATTGATGTGGCAGTGATTGTTCTTACTGCAGAGTGAACGGGAGGGGACTCAACACACAGCCCTGAGGGGAACCAGTGCTGATAGTTAATGGTGGAGGAGGAGAAGTTGCAAAATCCTAATGATGATTTCTTTTATTTTACGGGTGCTGAATTAAAATTTAGGGGTGCTTCAGGACCCCCAACACGAGGCTAAAATCGTCCCTGTGAAACAATAATATACAACAGCAACTTCTGACAGGTGCCACCCTTTCTTCAAACAGGGCCATTTCATTAAAGGTCAGCGTCGGCCAGTTGTCATGGTTACCAAACGGGTGAATTTATAACGTATTCAACGTGCCCCGTAAATATCTGCAGTAACTGAACAAACTTCTCAGTTTAGTGATACTTCACATACGAGCCATTCTGTTGAAATATATTTATTTTACAACTCCCACGACACAGCCAAATAAAATATAAACGTAAAACCTGGATTTAAAACTGAACGT